GAATTTATATACATATATATAATATACATATATACTTTTCTGTAAAAATTATTAGGCTATAAATTTATATTACAGTATAGTTACATTCATTTGGGGACTATATATACATATATATAATATACACCTATTGCATATAAGTATATAGGCCGACCTATGGTTGGTATGTTCAACCAGAGTTGAAAATAATAGTGCAGTCATTTTTTAATTGCATGGATTTGAATCTAAGCCTATTATATTATCTCATTAACTCTGCCCAATAGAACCATAGAGGAGTTAACATGAGACATTTTTTAGAGCAAAATGTGTATCAGTCATTAACCCAGCAAGTAAAGTTTAGAGTTAACCTTGAAAAATTACACAAAATCCCTAGACAAAAAAACAGCAAGGTAATGGAAGAGAAAGCAACAACTGTAGAAACTAATGTAACTTAAGTGTAAATGAGTGAGGTGCATATGCAGAATCATTATTTGAAGGTCATAAGTATGTAGAACTAAGAAGTGATCATTTAAATAAAATAAGTTAGCATGGAGTGGGGATTAGACTGTGTTAGTGAAGTTATTTTTAACAGGTGGAAATGTGCTTTGGTCTCACCTTGTGTAGACTGCTATATTGTTTTTATGGTATACCAGTACTGTACATATATTTTCTAAAAGACAACTGACTTTTAATGAATTTTGCTGCTTGGAGAGAGCTTGTCTCTTCCAAACTGATGATTGGCTCTCTGTATTTATGTTTTGAGTAAATAGTATATCGAAATAAACCACTATGTTTCCTCAGGGGTTTGGTCATCACAGTGATGTATCCTTCCACTCAAGAGTGGTGCAGAATATTACCAAAACCATTATTTATTAATTAAAAGCTCAGTGTGAAGAAATAAGCAGATCAAAAGAAAACAGAGGAAACAGCTGTCCTTGCTCCCAACCTAAAAGCAATTGTGATTCCCTTGAATAAGAGACACAATTTTATTTTACTTGTGTGTGTGGGTACCTTCACTGTCTTCTGGAATACTTCATTGCACTAGTATCTTTATTCAGATACTGGCACAATTCACAGACAAAACCACTGGGCAGAACTCTCCAATGCTGCTGGCTAAATTAAGGGAATTTTATTTAATGTGTAAAATGATCTTGGAATTCCTTTCTATCTAGAAGGTTTTTTTAAAAAAATCAGTTTCGTAAAGCAAGGTCTACTTTCCAGGAGAAGCAAAGGAAAGATCAGTTACTCATTTTGGTGAGTGGCAATTGTGACCACATCCTAAAATTACATATTACAGTGGACTTGATACCGAGCAGGACATTTGTAACATAGACTATTATAGAATGACATTGAAATGATATGCTAAAACTAAGGGAGGACAAGTTAGATATGTCTGAACTGAAAATATAATTGGGGCTGAAAGAAAATGTCCTCAGTTGGACAAACTAGACTCATTGAAGGTAATATCCTCTCCGTTTCAAAATTAAAAACAAAAAACTTGTACCATGAAAGTAAGAGTGACAATGACTTACAATATGTTTCTGGACTGAAGCACAGAAGTAAATGTGCTTGGCAGAGTATTTATTTTATAGTCAGCTTGTAAGTGTTTCCCTGGAGGACTTTATTCTCTCAGTGCTCTTAAAGACTTGAAGTTTACTGATTCTAGATGCTGCTTCATGGTTTTTCTTGTTCTCTCGTTTTAATGTGCTGTGTACTGCACACATCCATCACCGAACAGGCAACTTCTCTTCCAACTCAGGAACACTCATTTTGGGAGACAATTTTTGCTATTTAAGCTTCTTGCCAAACAATCTGCAAATGGAAAGACGTCTGGAGACTGTGACTGCTATTGGCAACTTCTGAAGAATGAGATAATAAAGAAGCCAGTGATGCTGACTTGTGCATTTCATTAGATCTGAATCTGCATATATATTCATAATGATTCACTTGATGGATGCAATTTCATGTTTCTAACGCTTTGGCCATGGGTGGCATTGTGCACCTGTATTTTCCATGCCTTCCCATCTGCTGCCTACAGTCATTCAGATTCAAGTGACAGAAATATTTTAGATAAAAGGTAATTAGCCTGCACACTGCAGATCAAATCTCTATACCTCATCATTAAGTAGGAATCTTCTGGGAAACTACTGAGAGTAATTTGTACTTGGCCTTCTTAAGATTAAAAATGTAAGATTCATTTTGTAGAAAAAAGAAATCTTTAGTACTGTCTTGATATTTTATGCATAGATTCTATCAAACTTTTCACTTGTATATTGCCCTTACGCATTTTAGTTCTTATCTGTGGATATATATAAAAATGGAAGAAGAGAGATACGACATTTTTTTTTTTCCCAAATAGAAGGAGAAAGTGAAAATGATGTAGAACAAGAAATCCTCCAGGGTCTGGACTCTTACTAGGACATTGATGGATGGTCATGAAACCTCAGAACTTCCTCTGGTTTCTCAGTCTTTAAAATGGGGCTGATTGATTACCCATTCTTATTTTGTGTAAGATTTATTACAACTTAATATTATGATAAACCTATAAAATACAGAAAACTTTTATTGTTTAAAGGACTCTGTCCTCTACTTAAATATTTATCTTGACACAATTACTTGTCAACAGTTAAGTTCACAAACAGCTTCTTTTTTTCTACTGGAAATATACTGAGTGTTTTTTAACCCATGGGAAACCAGCTCATGAGATTATTGTTCTTTTATTCTTAGCTAATGAAAGCAAAAACACTCTCAGCGACTGCAGATTTACATTTTAGGAAGAAAGAAGGTGGGGACAAAGGAACAAACCCTAGTCTCCCTATCCATTTTTATGTTGTCAGATAATACTTCTAAAGGTTTCCATTACACAAAACTACTAGCCGCTCTTTACCTATCACTTTTGTACTAGTTCCAGATTTGGTTCACTCAAAGAAATTCCGAGGGATGTGCTTTCTTCCTTATTCCATCGCCTAAGGATCAGGAACATCTTCTGAAGTCAAAAAGAGCAGGTACAGCTTTTTCTGTCACAGACTGTCAGAGTTCCTTTGGGGATTGTAAGATTAGCACATTCGGGGTCTCCACCCCCCATCCCCGCCCTACAGAGGGCAAAAACCCAGGTCGCTCTCCATGGTGCTGAACCTTGACTTTCACCAGTTGGTCAAACTGTTTTTTCGCGCATTCTTACTTCACTTCTCCCACCGGCACGCCCCCTCCCCCCTCACATTTTATTTCTTGCTGCGCTTAAAATGTTTCATTCTACTTCCACCGAGGCCCTTCTGTCTACCAGTTACGGGCACAGTGCGCTCTTTGCACAGTGACAAAGTTACAGAGCCCTGCGGACTTCACCCGGCTCTTTCCTCCCTCCCGTCCCCACCGGGGCCCTGACTCCCATCAGCGCGCATCTCCACTCCACGCGGCGGCCTCGCTCACCTGACTCTCGCGCGGAAACTCCTGACGCACGATGCTGATCGCTGGAATGTGCAGGACTGAGCTGACCAAGTCAAGCTCCATCATCTCGCCCTGGCTCTGGGGGAAGGCCAGCAGTGCCGACACCCCTTGCACCACCACGGTGTGGCACACGCTCTGCAGAAAGGAGAAAGGGTCACTGCTCCACGGAGAGCTAGGAGAGGAGAAGGGCAAAAGTGGCAGGTCGCCCAGGCCCGCTTCGATGGCCATCACTACTTCCAAAGACAGGTTGTAGGGCAGCAACCCTTCCACGCGGTTCAGGTTGTCCACGGCGAACAGCAGGGCGTCCCGCGGCCACAGAGTCTCGGCCCCGGAGCCCTCCCCGGGCTTCCGGGCGCCGGGCGGTCCCCGGCCATGCAAAGCACTCCCCAACCAGCGCGCGCCCTGAGAGGGCGCTGGGGGTCTCCACGTCCCCGGCTCCGGCTCATCCCTCTGCGCTCCCGCCCGGCTGCCGTCCGGAGCGCGGCTGGTTGCGCGTGGGGCTGTGGTCCAGGGCTGCAAGTGCACCGCGCCCACCCGCACGGCGTGGCCGATGCGCTTGAGGATCTGGCAAGGCTGCGGGTGCGAGGAGGAGCCGGGCACCCCGGCCAGTACCAGCGCGCAGGGCGGCGGCAGCAGCAGACAGACCCTGCTCAGCAGCCACCACAGACTCGGTCTCCTCATTACTGAGACCCGCGGGGAGAAAGCGCGCCCCCTCCTGCGCCCGGCGCGCCCCTGGCAGCCGCCGCCTAAGGTCTCCGCCTCCAGGTCCCGAGCGCGGCTTCACTGAAGCGGTCCCAGGAGCTGCAGCGGTCTCCGGGCCATCCAAGTGGGAGCCTCAGCGCAGCTCCTGGGTCCCTCCGTCCGGCATCCTCTGCCCGCCGGGTCCCTGCTCGGAGCGGGGCAGGGGCGCGGACCAGCGCTGGTCACCCGCGGCTCGGGCGCCACTTCCCCGCCTGCCCCATCTGCAGCGCGCCTCGGACACTGCGTCCGAGCCCACGAGGCGGCTGGGCTAGGAGGCAGCCAGAGTTCCAAACGGGCGGCGGTGACGGAGCAGCAACGCGCTTACTGGGATGGATTCTTCTCCTTATCCGTCCTGAGGGCGCATTGGAGAGGGGCGTCACGCCTGGGGTAAGGAAAAGGAGCCAAATTCGCCTTTCTCCACTGTTGGCGCCCGTCTCGTGGGCTCCCCCAGCGTTGGCTTCATTTTCCTTCTGCCCTCCTCACTTCCTCTCTTCTTTCCTATCGTTATCTTCCTGCCCAGTTGCCACAGCCACAGGCTTCCTCCGAGGAGAGACACGACTGGCCAGCAAAGGGTGGTTCTGCTAGGAGCGCCCAAGTTCTCCTCGCCTCAGCCGGCTCCTCCCTGTTGCTGAGCCCTGGCGCCAGCCTGTCGCTTGGCTGCGCTAAACGCCCACGGATGGTGAGATTCCCGGGCCGCACATCCCGCGCCCCCGAAAGTCCTCTCCTCTCAAAGGTTGGGAGTCCGTAGTTTGCAAAATTCCCCGAGATCTGAGAGGGCAGAGGCTCTCAGGGGCGGAGAATTCTGAACTCTGAGTCGTGCTTAGAGATGTAGAATCCAGTGGTTGACTGGAGAAGGAGGAAAAGGGCTGTGACTTTAAGGAGCTTCTCTTCAGGGTGCAGCTGCTGGGAGGGGTTTTCTAGTTAAGGGTATTAAAGCAAGAATTATTTACACGTTCAGTCTCCTCCGCTTCCTTCTCTCTGGCACATAGACCTTCGCATTTTTAAATGTTCATTGTTTTCGGGTTCTCAGAATTAAAACAAAGTAAACCCAAAGCAATTATCTAAGAAATTAAAGTGTTTGGAAATACTTTTAGAATTTCAAATAGCCAGCAGCAGTTCCTAGTATAGACCCAAAGTCCCCAGGCAACAATTTCTAGTAAGTGATCTAATTTGTATGGCAGTACAGCGAGGTCAGTGGGTGTATGAGCTAATCATTTCCTCCATGATTGGAATAATCTGGCATTACAAGGAAAGGAAAAGGTTAAGGGCAGGCCTGTGGTTTCCACACGTACAGGAAGCTATTTTACCTCGCAGTATCATGTAAGAGAGTGGGAGAGATACGAGAGGATCAGCAATTCCAAATCCAATACTGCTTCAAGAGAACCGTGACCTTGGCAATTCATTTCACCCGGCTTTGCGGGGCTGTTTGGATCTGCTAAACTGTTATGCAAATACAGTTAGCTTTTAGCTCTTGAGAGCTGTTTTGATTCACGAGCTAAAGTTTTCTTTCCTCATGCTTTAAATCTTTGGGGTGAAGATAAAACCTCCCAAGAAGGTTGCCAAGTGAATGCTGTTTCCCTCAGCACAAAATGGGTCTTGCAAAACTGACGTGCCAGAGAAAAGAAGGCTCTGGTGAGGGAAAAATGAAAATCCTAGGGGCTGCTGAGTACAAGGAAAAACAGACCCTCCAAGACCTGAGAGAGCATGCTAGGAATGGGACAAAAGGATCTTTCTCCTGCCAGCAATTTCCTCCTCTTCAGAGGATTCCACTTCTTGATACTTGACTAAGAAAGTGCACAAGTCCATTGTCCTCGAGTTGCGTGAAGAGTTGCGATCTGATCATTGTATCGTAAGGAGGGTATTCACCTGTGTTTGAGCAGGTGTGCATCTGGGAGTATGGCGCTCCAGATTATGCCTATGCCTCATATCTTAATGATCATAATACTTGGCAGCACGCATATGCTCAGATCAGGTTCCTAAGAAAATAATGATGGAGAAGAGTTGATTTGATAGTGGATAAATCCTAGAGTCACTGTATATATTTTACCATCTCAACTTCAAGATGCTTTCAGAGTGGCTGGACTGTTCCTTAACAAAAGAGGTGATTCCCAGATTTCTGGATGTAGTACTACTCTAGCTCATGATAAAACTGCAGTAAAATCCTGTGAACACTGAGTGATCTGAGAAGAACAATGCTTGCTTTTCTGAGTTTTTCAATTAAGGCATCATTTACTTTCTGTCTTCCATTTTTTGCTTGGGTCTTCTTCCACATTACTGTGGTCAAGCATCTGTGACATTCTTCTCTCTCTCTCTCTCTCTCTCTCTCTCTCTCTCTCTCTCTCTCTATTTCTTTCTTTCTCTTGCTCTCTCCCTCTCTCTCTCTTTTGTTCTCCCTCTCTCTTTTCCATGCTCCAAAGCTCACAGTATTCAAAGCTATACTAAATTCAGTCATCAATTCAACAACCAGTCTCTAAGCTCTTACTAGGTGCAAAGCATTGCCATAGGGCTGTTCTGGAAACAGATTAATAAACTTCAGTTAAGTGAAATTGAGTTCTTTTCCTCTTCAGAAAGTCATCTAGTTCATGCTTGAACAAAGTGTTAACATTAAGCTGTATTGTAGTGTGAGAGACAGACAATAAAACACAAAATTAAATATGTGTAGGATGTGTTAGTTGGTACTATGGAGAAAAACAACATACTATAGAAGTATTAGGAAGAGGGTGAGTTGTAATTTTAGATGGAAAACCTTTCTGAGAAAATAACTTTTGAATTAAGACCTAATGTGGATATGAGGGAGTGCTTCTTGAACATACACATCTGAAGAATTTTTAAGCAGAGAAACAGGAAAATGCAAGGGCTCTAAGACAGGACTACTTCTGCAATGTCTGAGGAATAGTCCAGAGTGACTGGAGCAAAATGCCCCGGGGGAGAGTGGTGGTTTTCAGGTCAGTGAGGCAGTGAGGAGGAGGCAGACAGGATAAGCCAATGACAAGCTTTGGCTTCTGCTCTGAATGGATGAGAAGGCATGGGGGCAGCTTACTAAGCAGAAGAGTGGCAGGGAGAATGTTCTAAGAGGACTACTCTAGCCATACTGCTGATAGGAGATGGTAGATGGGAAAACTTGGAAACCAGGGGATCAAATGTGAAGCTTTTGCTATAATACTGTGAGACATAACGTTACTGTCAAATCCTAACAACTTTAGTAGGCTAATGTGATTATTCCCCCTCTACTGAATGGGCAATTGAACCTGAGGAAAAGTTCAGTTATTTACAAAAAGTCATCACACAGTGAGCAGCAGTGTAGCTTCAAAATTCTAAATTCATCCCAACCGCATTGTTGGTAGCAAGTGCCAGTTACATTTCAAAATCGAAGCTTTGCTTATTCTCTGATTATAAATGAGAACTGCTGATCTAAGAACATATGCTGGCGAGTGAAACAAATGAAAGCAAACACAAATGCTCACAGTTTAAAATGTGCTTTTGTGCACATCTGTGCATTCTGGTACCAGCAACACTGCACTAAACTGTGCTACTGTGGAGGCTGTCCAGGAAAAGCTCCAGTGAAAAATGCTGAGGGGATGGGGGCCTTGGATTCTGCATAGGAGACGTTTCACCTCCCAAGTTTTATGTAGTGTTGTGGTGACAGCTCCTGACAGTTGTCTCCATGGCCATGGCAGTCTATAGACTCCTGCAAATGTTTCAAGTTCCACTGAAATAGGGGGACATCTTGCTATATATTTATAATGCTTTGGAAAATTATCCTTTTTCCTCTCATACTGTGACAAATCTCAAATTGTACCCATAAGCAGCTTTCTGGTTTGTAAATGGCAATAATATTGCATGGTATGTCCTCATTTATGGGTTAGCCTTTTACACAGTGATAACTGGGCTGGTTTTTGTCAGTATTCAGGTGGGAAATGTGCTCACTCCGTAGCTAATGCATGACCCCCATTATACCCTCTCCCATAACACGTTGGTTTCTATTGCAGGAGACCTTGTTTTTATGACAGTCTTTCTGGATAAAAACAGATATGAACAAAAAATAAGTGGAATTTGCAAAAAATCCAGGGTAACAGAATTTTAGGAAGAAATAAATCTAGAAAAAACCCAGTTTAGTTTGGAAAGAGAGACCCTGAAGACTCATATATCAAAAACTTACTAATTCTTTTCTCATTTCACTAAGTAAAAGAAGAAGCATATGTTTGCTTGATACTGTGTGACACATTTTGGATAACAATCTTTCTATCTAAACATATAAGCAATTTTTATCATTGTAAAACCATCAGACCATTGCTCATTAGTATAAATTATTCTACCATGATTATTGCAAAATTAATATTTTGTGGGGAATGGGGTGAGGGAAAAAGAAGTTCATTTTGCATTATAAAAGAGCTCAGGGATACAAGAGACTTTGAGATAGACTTACAAAAGATGTGCAGAAATTATGAAGTCTTCATTTTTCTAGTGCTTTTATCTCGAGTGACATCTACTTGCCTGGAACACTACATACATGGTCAAGTAGGAAATCACTAGAAGAATTTTGTTAGCCCAAAGGACTGAAAACAGGTGAAAAGGGGCCCTAGAAAGTAAGAAAATAGTGTGAAGAAAGGAAAGCAAAATTTGAGTATATCCCGGCAATTCAAAATCTTGCATCGGCTTTGGCTTCATGCTGGAAAACACACACACAAAATGTCTTTTGTTTTATACCACGTGATTACCTACACCTAGGAAGCCAAATTTAGGTGAGGGCTGTTACCTACCTATAAATGAGAAGGTGCCGATATTTGTTTTCCTTTCTCCTATGAAAAAGAATGTTGTGGTGTCCTCATTTTAGATGTCATCAGGGGAGTGAGTTATCAGTTGTGACAAGTGCTTGGCCTTTTCAACATCCACCGGGATTATTAGCTGAGTGTTTGGATTTCCCAGTTCCTTCCCTAAACCCCACCACAGGGAGCTCAGATGCGGTTTGGAGAGGATAACATGGCAATCTCTCTCACCGCTACTTTCTCTTTTTTTCCCCATAATCATTCCAATTTAGCCTTTATCCAAATGACTTATGAAATAAAACTTGGCCCATCACAGACTGTGACATTTTTAAAGGACCTCTTCTTGCCCAGTTTGTAGCACTAGTTTTATAATTGCAGCCAAGAGAAATTGGAATTTATCTCAAAGCTCTTTGCTTTATGAATCTCATGCTTTGCATCTATTTTATTTAAAAAAAATGTTTAAAAAAATTTCTTTAGAAAGAGAATTTGGGGGAGGTGTTTAGATGCTTAACAACAAAT